TCAGCAGAGGGTCCCACAGTAGTGCCGTCCTTCCAGTCGCCAGGTGCGCACAGCTGCAGAGTCATCCCTCATTCCCCATAGCCAATCCGCTGCCAAGTCTCTTCAGGCTCTGGGATCGGCCCCTCCCCCCACTTTATGAACACTACCCCAGGTGAGAGCATCATTACCTCTTGCCTGGACTGTTTCAGCAGCCTTCTGATTTGTTTCCTTCCATCCATTCCTCCCCACCCCAACCCCTGGCTTCCAACTCCTCCATCTCCTATGCAGCAGCTGCCAGATTGATGTTCCTAAAACATAGTCTGACCCCCTCGTTCTCCTGCTGAAGAATCTTCAGCCACTCCCTGCTGCCCCTCAGATAAGATACGATCCTCTGTGTTGGTTAAAGCTTTTAACAATCTTACTCCAGTCTCTTCCCAGCTCTCATCTGTGGCATGGACCCCTTAGGCAGTCTAGTAAAGCTGGTGGAACTCTCCTCCTCCCCCTCCTCCTCCTCCCCCTTCCCTCCCCCTCTCTCCCAGTGCTGCACTACAGAAGGCCAATATCTGACGCAGATATATGTGAAAGGACCTCTTTTTAGATTAATGTTTTTGCATGCATATGAAGAAGACCAATTATATTGAAACTTTTTTTTAAATTCACAGACCCCAGCTTAAGAACCCCTGTTATAGACTAATTTCACATTATTCTCCTTTACATTGAGAGTGACTCATTTATTTTTCCCTATATGCAACAGGATAGTGTTTATTTCCCTTATATTTCCCAAGGTTCAGCACAGTACTTAGCAGTTAGTAAGCACTTAATAAATTCTTTTTAATTGATTGATCTCCTTCTTTCAGCCCTTGTACAGCCTATCCCCCATTCCTGAAATGGTCTCCCTCTCCCTCCAGCTCTTGGAATCTGGGGCTTCCTTGACACCCTCACTAGTGTTCTCAATACCCTCCACCCTGTAGCAAAATGATTTCCGTTTTCTTTATATATATTTTGTATTTATATATTGTTTCCCCCAGTAGAGCTCTTTGAAGGCAGGAACTGTTTTGTTTTTGTCTCTGAGCCTAGAGTATCTGGCATTTAGACTAGTCACTTAAATGCTGTTTGAATTGAATAGGCTAAGTGTTCCCCTATGGATTTCACTTCTGGAACACTTGGTTTACCTGGTTAAACCAAGTATATTCAGTATTCTCCGATGGTTCTGCAATATTTGGTACTTAATGAATTTTATATCATCATGGGAGCAGATATGAATAGTTGGTGCTAATAGAAAAATGAATTCATCTTCCCATTCATTCCCCATAAACTTAAGCTTTGTCGACTGTTTCCATGTTTATTTCTGTCATTCAAGAAACAGGTCAGGATCTTGCTATGTAGAGGGAAAAGTTGGATAGAAATAGTCATTAGTGTCTTAAAAAAGATATAATTTTTTTAAAACTTCAATAGAAATTTTATAGAAATTTAAATTATTAAGTGTTACCTGACTACATATTTGAAACCTCTTAACTATTGGCTTTAGTAGGTGTTTCTGGTCACTTCTAGAAGATGTAAGGTAATTAATTTACTTGAAAAAATCTTTCTGGATTCATTGTAGTAGAGTTTAAGGGAAAAGGCTTATTCACACTCAGAAGATAGATCTGTGAAAACCAATTCGGGCCTTTATGCATTCTAAACTAGAGAACAAAACAGAGACAGCATAGAAAGTGTGATTTCTGGACTTTCATGTCATTGCAACCAGGTTGAAGTCCACAATGGCCCCAAGAAGGGTCTCACTTTCTGAGTGTTGGGTAAATCATGGAAAAGACAGGATTCCAATGAAAAATCAGGCAGAGTCATCTTAATGAAAGCCAAATTCTTGATCAAGACAAGAAAGCTTCCCATCCCCCCCCAAAAAAACAACCCAGCAGAAACTGTGATGCCATTGACACCTACTTCAAGAAATTACAGACTGAAAACCCAGAGCGACTCTGGTCTTATTTAGGGGAGTGGTCTTTTTATTGTCCCACGTAAAAAAATCCACATTCAAGTGCTTTTAATGTATTTGCAGGACACTATGCTAATAGTTAGGAGTTAGCACTGTTATTTAGTGTTTATCCTGTGTCCTTAGTCATTAATAAATAACTGCCAAAACCTACTATATGGTTCTCTCTGTGTATGCATTTTATACATACATACACACATAGTATATATGTATATGTGTGTATATATGTATGTACATGTGTACATATACATATGTGTGTGTATGTATGTATGTGTGTGTGTGTATATATATATATAGATATAGATATATAGATATAGATATAGATATAGATATGAATTTCTTCCCGCATAGGCCAATGCATGAAATCTATGTTTTGAGAATAGATTCTGGAGAGTAGAGCAATTGTCAACTCAAATTTAAAACACCACCCAGAAAATAAGCTTCTTAAATGTTCTCACAAATCAAAAAGCATTTTTCAGTGTGGGGGCACAATTCCTCCTTCCTTTTTTTTGTCACTGTCATCATTATAACTAGTCCTTATTGAGGACCCACTGGCTGTGTGTCGCCCAAGATTGAATACTGTGGAGTAAACAGTACAGAGCAGACATTCAGAACTAAAGATATCTCTATGGCTCTTTGTTGTGTGGGCTCAGGTAGAATGCTGGAGCAGACTTGGACCCCAGCCGACCAGTTCTTAGTAGTTATTTGGGAATTTGCAGTTTAGCAGTGAGATAGCTAAAGAGAACTGGAATGGGGGGATATTGCTCCTATTACAGATCAGAATTATGAAGTTGACCCTTTGGGACAGAATGAGTGTGACTTTTTTTAGTAAAGTATTGTTCTTCCTGTACAGGGAGAGGAATAATTGTGAAACACTGTGAAATCGTCAATAAGCATCAGGCCGGTTTCATCAGCCAGAGCACATCTCAGAACATTATGTGTGAAAACTGCCTGAAGAGTCAGGCTGTGGAATAAAGGCTGGTCACTGGCTGCTTAGGTAACTACCCCTTGCTCTTCCTGGAGTATACGCAGCCATGACAGCTCTGACTGTGGTTTACAGACCTATTTTTGGTGTGACTGAGAGAACTTCCGATTAATGATGCATTGTTGTGTGAACATTGACATCCTGTCTCTTTCTAAAAGCAGAAAAAGAGTGACCTTGTTTGGGAGAAGAGTTCCTGCACTTTTCACAAAGGTCCCTTAGAAGTCTGTAATTGAGAGGCGTGGAAACCAGAGTGCCTCCAGAGGGAAGCACTTGGGAGTGTATGGAAATAAAAAAACATTGCATTGTAGAGACAGGTAGAGGTGAGCTGGAGGCCTAGGACTCTGTAGAGAGAAAAGCACACAGTATCCTAAAAGTGAATGAGAAGGGTCAGAAGTTCTTGAGTCACCATAGTTTTAAAGGCCAAGAAGCATTCTCTATGGACTTAAAAAGATTTCTGGAAACTTCCACCGAGCTAATCATTGGAGCATTGAGTAATTGAGTATGAAAGTGTGGATCTTAAGATAGTAAGAGGGACTTTTCAAAGGCTCTTTCATTATGTTTTTCTCCCTGAAAAGTCTGTCCCCGGAGATTTCCATCACACTGTTTCCAACATTGAGAGAATCAGGTACCAGCATATTGAATAATTCTAGCTCAGGCGATGTTGTCATGTTTGCATTATTAGGCTGAAGTGAAATGAATTCTCGGCTGGCAGCAAAGGGGAAATGGTAGCTTAGGCCATTCTCCCTCAGCATGATATCCATACATAAGCATGATGGGGAATGACATCTCCATGAAGGCTGAGTGGTGTGTCTTAATATGCCACAAGCAAGAAAGTAAAATATTAGCCACTTTGCTTATTAAGCATCTTCCCAACCTGAATTATATGCTGAAAACGGGATCGAATGCAGACAGGAATCCTTCTTTTAAAAGAGGTGCCCTGAATACTGATTTCTGAGAAGGTGGCTTTTCCAAATAGGGACGAATGACATCTCATCATAGCTTCTGAGTCTCTGTCTCTAGTGATAAAATATGAAGAGGAAAACTCTTTAGCCCTTGGCTTCATTACACGGATGTTTTTAAGGTCTTAAGTGGTACATTTAGTTGATTGGTTTGCTTCGTCTTTGAAAGCGTTGTCTGCGTTAAAGACTTAATCAAGTTGCATTGTATTTTGTGTGTTTGCTGTGCAGCCTTCTTGATTCAGGTGTATATGGTGCTGTTTTCCAAGCTCAGAAAGGGCAGGGTGCTCAGTTGCCTTTATAAAGGCAATTTCTTGGTTGGCTGCAATTGAGTGCAGAATTATAATGCTGAGGGCTTAATTTATAACAGAAAATGCAGGAGTGCAAACCTGTTAAACCCTTTATACATGTATAAATAAGGCAAACAATGACAGATTAGCATGGAGTATTGTTTAATATGAGTAATCCTAAAAACAAATTTCCTGTGCTTATGCATGTTGTACCGATTAGAGAGCATAGAGAAAACATGTAGAAATCAGTATATCATCTTTGAAATATAATGGAATCATGGAGAGAAAGCAAAGTGATGTGAGATAGCTGCTGCCTGGATTGGCAGCCTATTTATAATCTGGGAGACTTGTAGCTCGATTGCCATGTGTAACATCCGAGAGGAATGATGTGTGTATGTATCTACCAAGCATGTGCTCCAGATTTTTGCTTTTTCAGAAAAGGATACTTTTTCCTATAAAGAAATTCAGTACGCTGGCAAAAGCAGAATCTCTCTTGAGAAGATGTAACTAACACGGTCTCCATAGGGCCCGTGGGCATTTGTTAGAGGATGAGGTAACACCTCTAGTGAGATGAGCATTTTAAGACGTAAGACCTTCACGGTGTTCTTCACGAATCTGCCTTTGAGGAGTGAGTCAGGTGGGATGGAATGTTGCATTTCAGTACCTTGTGGCTATCTGTGCACATTCGACAATAACAATTTCCAAGCCAATGTGTCTCAAGTTTTTTAATTACAGATTTAAATGCTCACAGGAACTCTGCTCGTATGTTAATTCCACTGTTGGACTTTAAAGCATTCCTCTTTTTTTTTTTTTTGCATTTTCCAACTCAGTTTATGAAAGGCAGTCAGACTCCTACTATGAAGATGATGTTTATCAGGTGATGCTTCTTCCTTGAGTGGCAATCCTATGAGAGGAGGAAACTCTTCATTGCTGCCTACTGGGATAACAAAGAGGTTCTCTTAATAAAAATAACCTTTAGCAAGAACAGGAAACAGCATAGGTGCCTGCCCATTGGTTTGAGAATGGCTAAATAAGTTGTGAAACACAAGTGTAATGGGATAATATGCACCGTAGGAAACGGTGGATATGGAGAATTCAGAGAAGCCTAGGCAAACACATGTAAACTGATTCTGAGTGAAACAGACAAAGCCAGGAGGATAATACACACAATGACTATGGAGTAATTCGAATGGAAAGAAGGACAAAAAATTGAAGATGTTTAATGTTGTGTCATGATATGACAAAGCTTGGCCCTGAGGAAAAGCTTAAATGAGGGGGTGACCATGAATTGGGGAATGGTCAAACAGGTTGTGGTATATGATTTGATGGAATTATGTTAGTGAGCTAAGAAGTGATGAAGTGGAGGGTTTCAGAAATGCCTGGGAAAACCTATAGGAACTGATGCAGGGGGAAGTGAATAGAGATCCGAGAACAATATATAGGGTAACAGCAATATTGTGAAAGATTTGAAGATTTAGTAAGTCTGAGCAACACAGTGACCCACCATAGTTCCAGAGGACCCAATGAAACGTGCTGCTTGCCTCCATCTAGAAAGCTGATAGGCTCAGAGGGCAGACTGAAGCATATCCTATTTTCTTCTCTCTCTGTGTGTGTGTGTGTGTGTGTGTGTGTGTGTGTGTGTGTGTGTGTGTGTGTCTCTCATTTTCCTTGCCTTTTCAATGGAAGGGAGAGAATTTGGAAATGAAAATAATTTTTTAAAACATTGAATAAAATGTTTTTAAAGGAGAAGACAGACTCCAAGGCCATCCTCTCTGCTGTCAACTTACAATGTAGTTTATTTAAGGAAAATAGATTAATGATTGTGTTGGGCAAAATTTCCCTGAAGTTATGTTATGTATTCAGAAACTCAATAGAAAGGTTTTGAGGGATCTTCTGATAGTTTGGCTCATTCATAACACTGTTCTTCTGTTAGCGTGGATGACTCTGTCATCATCCCTCATTTCAGAAAGAGAACACAGTAGGGCACATATACAGTGCTCAAGAAAGCATAATGTGTTAGTTCCAAAAATGAATTGCGATAAATAGACTGTAATCAGATTGGAGTTTTCTTAACCTTCCTGGCCTAAAAGGAGAGGACTAGATCAGTGTTGTCAGACTCCAGTAGAAATGGATTTCTGTGGCCACATGTTGACTGAACATTATTTATGTTGTGTTGTGTTTTTATTTTGTTAAACATTTTCCAGTTGCATTTTAATCTGGTTCCTAAGTACTCAGGAGTTGGGAGGGCAGCTTCTTTGATACCTCTGAACTAGATAATCTTTAAGATTCCTTCCAGCTACAGGTTTATGATTCCATGATAGCAAAAAACCATCTTCAGTCACATGAAAGGAGAATTTGGAGCCACAAGTGATTTAGGTCTTGGTTTTTAGTTTTATCAGGAAGCTGTGTTTGGGCATCAGCGTATTAGAAGGTGCCTTGGATCTGGATTCTTGCTTCATAGCTACATGACCTTCAGGAAGTCTCTTAAACTCTCTGAGACTTGGCTTCCTCCTCTATCAAAGGGACTAATGACATTTGCTCTACCTAGCTCACGGCATTGTTTTGACCACAGGGCTTTGTAAACCTTAAAGTGCTATACAAATTAGTTACTCTTGATGTTGAGTCTCTGACCCTACAAGCCGTGCTCTTCTCAGACATGGCACCCAGTCCTTTGTGGCTATGCCTTTGAACAAGCTGCCCTTCCTGCCTGGAAAGCCCTCCCTCTTCACCTCCACCTCGTAGAATCCCTCACTCCTTTCAGAGCTTAGCTGAAACAAACATCACCTCCTACAGTGAGGCCATTGTCAGTCCCTTTGGCTGTTAATTCCTTCTCTCCCAAATTATTTTGTACATTTGTGTCCGTGTGTGTGTGTGTGTGTGTGTGTGGACACACATAGTCCTATGACTCACGTCAAAGACATGGTGATATCTCATGTCTTAAACACCTTCAATTTATATGTGTGTGTATATATATATATATATATATATATATATATGTATGTATGTATCTCTCTCTGTCTCTCTGTCTCTCTCTCTCTCTCTCTCTCTTCTCTCTCTCTCTCTCTCTATATATATATATATATATATATATATATATATATATATATGTATGTATATCAGTATTTATGCCTAGTGGAATATAAACTTTCTGAGGGTAGGGACTATTTTTTTGTCTTTGTTTCCCTAAGCAGGGCTTGACCCAGATGCTTAATAAGTACTTGTTGGTTGATTGATTGATTGCAGATCACCTTAATCAACTAGTTACTCATTTGGAAAACTGAATGACTGTAATCCAAGAAGAGGGCTTGAGAAGGCTATCGTTTTTGGTGTCTGGACCCTTTGGCAGTCTGGTGAAGCCTGTGGACTCCTTCTCAGAATCATATTTTTTAATGTATAAAATCAAGTACATAGGGTTACAAAGGAAATCAATTATACTGAAATACAGTTATCAAAAAAAATTTTTTTAAGTCATGAGTACCAGTATGTTCCACGGACCCCAGTTTAAGAATCCTGACTTAAGAGATATCTAATTGTTTGCTTCTCTGTTGAGCCACGCAGTGTGAAGTAGACAGGCATAAATACTGATATACACATATATATATATATATATATATATATATATATATAGAGAGAGAGAGAGAGAGAGAGAGAGAGAGAGAGACAGAGAGACAGAGAGACAGAGAGAGATACATACATACATATATATATATATATATACACACATATAAATTGAAGGTGTTTAAGACATGAGATATCACCATGTCTTTGACATGAGTCATAGGACTATTTACTGAGAAAGTGTTCTGAAGTTTTATGAGAGGCCTTTTAAAGTAGATCTTTTAAATGAAACTCTTCACAAGTGTGTGGAATAAAATTCCTTCCAAATCTGTGCTTTCTATTTGTCATTTTTCTTTTTAATAGAAAACCCTTCATGGGCAACAAGTATATTTTGCTGGATAAAATCATGAAACCCTGATGACTGAGTCCACTACAAATTTGTGTTCCATAACTGGACCCTCACTGCTTCAAGGCTATCTGTTTATACCTTCCTAATTAATTCACTCTCCCACTCACCACAACAGCTCTTCCAAACCCTTTTATCCCTCCTCAAACCTCCTGATTCCCTCCCCACCTCACATTGAGCTAAGAACCTGAGCATGAGCTCACTGAAAAAAATTTCACTTCACTGAAAAAACTGAGGCCATTAGGCAAGAGCTTCTTCTTCACTTCCCTGTTCCTCATCTTACATCATGCCTTCTCCCTTGTCTCACATGAAGAGATGAGCTTTCCCCTTGCCAAGGCAACTCCCCTACATGCACAAATGATGCTATTCCATCCTTTCTTCTCCTGGAGATTGCCCCCTCTGTCATCCTCCCTCTCTCATCCTGCCTCTCTCACTTATCTCCGATCTCTCTCTGTCTACTGGCTGCTTCCCTAGTGCCTACAAGTATGCCCACATCTTTCCTATTCCCCACACACCTCAGTCTATCCAGCCAGCCCCTCTAACTTGTGTCCCATACCTCGCCTCCATTTTTTTGCTAGACTTCTTTAGAGGGCTGTATACAACATGTCTTTCCTTCCTTCCCTCTCACTCCCTTCTTAACTCTCTCCAGTCTGGCTTATACCTCATCATTCAGCTGAAACTGCTCCCTCTAAAGTTAGTACAGTCTCTCTTTTTTTCTTTTTTTTAAATTTTAGACTTAAATACTAAAACTTAAATATACAATAAGAAAAGAAAAGAAGCATATTATAAACTTAAATATTAAAACTTAGATATAAAATAAGGACAGAAAAAAGCATTGCCATGTACACAGCAGAATATAGAGAGGATTCAACATATACAGCAATAAATTTCCATTTCAAGAAAGCGTATATAATAAATACTATGCATTGTGTTCAGAGCTGTCCATCTTTTCTTTGCTTCCTTGTGAGTTTTCTTTTGTTCTCTGCTATGCACTTTTTACTTTGTTCTTCCCCCCCACCCCAGACTACAATTGAGCATGGAGATACACCCCCCCACACACACATACACACATAGTACAGTCTCTTAATCGTCAAATATAATGACCTTTTCTCAGTCTTTATCCTGACTACTCTGCAACTGTTGACACTGCCAGTCACTCTCTTCTTGACATTTTCTTCTTTCTAGGGTTTTCAGGACACTGCTCTCTCCTGGTACATCTCACACCTGTCTCACCACTCTTTTTATGTCTCTTTTGCTGGATCTTCATGCAGGTCATGCTCCCTAACTGTAGGTTTCCCTTGGGGCTCTGTCCTTGACTTGCTTGTGTTCTCCTTCTAGACTATTTCATTTGGTGACCTCATCAGTTCCTATGGTTTCAATTATCATTGTTATGCTGATGATTCTCAAATCTACTTGTGCAGCCATAAAGTTTCTGCTGACTTTTAGTCTCATGTCTCCAACTCCTGCTGGATATCTGGAACTCGATGGCCCACAGACATCTCAAACTCAATGTGTCCAAATGGGAACTCATTGTCTCTTCTCTCTTCCCCCCAGTCTGCCTCTGTCACTGTTGAGAGCACCACCATTTAACACCTTCCTCCCCGTTATCCAGGTTTGCAACCTAGAGATCTCAAACTCTCGCTAAAGCCTGTTGATTTTACCTTTGTAACATCTGTTGTATGCGCCGCCCTCTCTCCTCAGCTGCTGCCCCAGCTGTAGTACAGGGCCTCATCAGCTCATGCCTGGACTATTACACTAGCCTTCTGATTTGTTATCTCTACCTCAAGACTCTCCTGACTCCAAATCCATCTTTCATTCAGCTGTCAAAGGGAACTTTGGAAAGTGCCAGTCTGACCTTGTCACCCCGCCCCCCCAGCTCTCTCCAGTGGCTCCCTGTCCCCTCCAGGATCAAATGTGAAATTCTTTGGTGTCCAAAGCCCTTCATAACATGCCCCCCTCCCTGCTTTTCCAGTCTTCCTACTCTTTCTTCCTCTCCATGTTCTTTGTGAGACAGTAACCCTGGCCTCTGGCTGTCCTCACACGTACATAATGTTTCCTCCCCCGACTGGACCTTTTCATTGGCTCTCTCTATCCCTGGAATGCTCTTCCTCCTCGCCTTCACCTCCTGGTTTCCTGCAAGAACCAGCTCAAATCTCACCTTGGACAGGGAAGCCTTTTCTAATCCATCTGTTGAGTATTCCCTGTTTACCTTGTAATGCCTTACGTTGCCGTGTATACATATTTGTACACTGTTGTTTGCATGTTATCTCCCCTACTAGACTGTGAGCTTCTTGAGAGCAGGAACTGTCTTTTCCCTTTCTTTTTATCCCCATCTTGGCTTATAGTAGGCACTCAGTATTTATTGACTGACCAGCGATTCTGTACATCCACTGGGCAAATGTTAAGTAGCTATTTAAGAAATAGCATCTGATGCTGATGAGATTAGACACTGAGTAGAGCAATAGAAAGCTGGCCTTGGGAGGGATGAGTAAACAATCTGAAAGAAAGAGGTCAGCAGGGAGTAAGTACTCAGTAAATGTTTGAATGAATAAATGATGAAAAGGGAAACAAAAGAATGATTTAAGCAAGTGAGTCTATCCTGGGAGAAAGGACCAATCTTGAGTGGGAGGGGCACTAGAAGTAAAGATGATGAAGCTAAATTTCACTGGGAAGGTATCATAGAACAAAGGAGAGGGAGGAGGGAGAAAGAGAATGTATTTTTGAAAGCTGAATAGTCTGGAAGAAGGGAGAGAAGTAAGAATTAGGAAGGGTGGAGGGGCAGGAGATCTGTATAGTAGCCAAAGGGCTTTTTCTTGGGTGATTGGATAGAAAGTAGAATTAAGAATGATCGGGCGACACCTGGCTCTTAAATTCCTAGAATCACCAAGCTAGAATGCAGCTTCTGAGATTCGCTAAACACTATCTAGAAAGATGGCTGCTCTTTAAAAAATAATAACTCTAGGCTTCCTTGGTAACATATTTTGGCATCTCATAATTTTTAGTCTGCAGGTGCTTCCTAACATGTAAAATGAATCCCTTCTAGTACAGGCTAAGTCCATTCCTTTGCTTCCTCTCCTCAGTGAGAATGGAGAAGAAGTACTGATGCTGACATCTCTTCCTGGGTTATTTGAAGCATGTGAAGTTTCCCCTCAGCTTTCTCCCTTCCAGGCTAAATAATAAAAATTCCTCCTAATCTTTTCATTGTTTTGATTCCTTCTCCAAATTGTGAGTCAATATGTAAGACCCAAGCCTGGATGTCATTTTGTAGGAAATGTCATAGTGTAGGAAAGGTATCTTATAGTTCTTGCATGGAATACTCTTGCTTACGTGTTGGGGTCTTTGGGTCATCGCCTGAGAGTCTCGGGGAACCCTGAAGGACCCAGAGTCCAGCCTCTTCCTGTTGAGATGAGCTCACTGAGGCCCAAGAGGTAATAGGTTTGCCCTGCATCCCTGGGGACAAACAGCAGCACTGGGACTAGAGCTGAATGCTGCAGTCACTCTGCTCCAGCCTGACCACTGGCTCTTTTTCTACCATATCTACCCCATCCTTGCGTTCTAGATTTACTTCTCTTGTGTGTGTGTTTGTTTTTTCTTCCAAAGTGAATTTTTTGTGCCTTACGCTTTATGAGTTCCTGCAGTGTAAACCCAGAGAGGGTAAGGATATTTCCTTTGACCTCTCTATGGTATCTAATGTCAGTCCACAGATCATCACAGTATTAATGGTGGTGGTAGCATGCGTGTGTGCATATATTAAGCACTTACTGTGTGCCAAACCCTGGGGATACAAATAGAAAAGTGGAGACAGCCCCTCCCTTCAAGGAGTTCCTGCTCTAACTGAGGAAGACCCAATATACAAGAACATTCAGCTGCAGGCTGGGTGGAAGGGCCCAGACAGAAGTCCTGATGGGGCAGATGGCAAGTGGCCTCAGGGGCCTTAGGGGACATCCAAGATTGGATGACAGTACCAGGGGTTTGCAGGACATAGAGGCAGGGCGGATGCTTTCAGTGGAAGGAATAGAGTTTGGGTAGTTATTAATAGTTTCTAATTGATAGAAATGTTTACTTTTAGGTCTTCCTAATTATCCCTTTCACTTGTCTGAAATGCTGGAGTAATTTGGAGTTAATTACTTTTCAGCTGTAACTATCTGGGTTCTAGACTGCCTTCATTCAGAACAAATTGCCTTTGAGACTTGATGCAGACCCCCAGAGACTCCTGAACGTTGTGCCTAGAACCTATTTCTGACTTGTGAGGGTGAGTAGGGCAGAAGAGAAGGTATCTGGGTCCTGTGGAGCATTGGGTGACATTCGATGCACTCTTCGCTCTTGCCCTGTGGTACCTTTGAAAGACAGGAGCAGCCCGTCCCTAGCCTGTGGAGCTGCCCACTGCACGTGGGCTCTTGCCCCTCTGCCTGGCTGGATTAGACCCTGGAGGAAGCATCACAGCTGCTTTTCCTGTTCCTGGGTGTGGAGTGGTTCACTGTAGAATATCGGCAGCTACTTTAGGGAATACTGGTGTTGTCCCCAAATGCCTCTCAAGATCATCCTCTGTAGCTGGAACACTTGTGTAAATGGGATGCTGTGTCTGAGAATGTCCTGTCACAGGGAACCAAAGAAGGAATTAAGGAATGACAACTCTGGTGTCACAAAAGGCATTGAACCCTTATTCAAGTAATCCCGTTCCCAAGCAGATCATTGGTCTGAGGGGCCCCAGAGAGAAATGACCATTCATTTTCTTAGGGCGAAAAAGGAGAAGGTGCAAAAGGCATTGATGGAAGATCAAACTTGCCCAATCCCCCGCATTTCCACTTATAGTACTATCTTCCTTCTTCAGCATTGGTCCAAAATCCAAGTGATCCTTTCTGATCTAACTAACTACATCCACCTTGTGTAAGCCTGGCTTAAATGTATACCCTCCAGGTAAGGCCTTGTCACTGCTGGAAGGCATGATCTAGTATAAAATGTGCTTAGAGAGATTTCTCCTCCTGCTTCTCCTGAATAAAGTGTAGTATCACAAAATATTCCTGATATCTCCTTTCAGATGCTAAGACTGTGGTCCTTTCCATTTCTAGTGATTTTTTTAAAACTCGCTAATTTACCCCAGTGTTAACTTTGGCATTGAAATCAGATTTTAACCATGAGAGTGAAATTCAGTCCCATTAGTATTAGTTCTTATTCTCCTAATAGTCAAATTTGGATTTGATTGGCTTCTTTGCCTTTTTTAAAGTAATGAATGGTTTTGCTGTACGAATGTAAGAATAAATCCTACTTCTGAGCTTCAGAGCTCACTGAATAATACATGCAGAAAGTGACTTGTGTTTTGTGTTGGTGGTTACATCTCTTTTAGATGGAAGAAGTTGAATAACTGTAAGATGCAAAAAGATCTAGGATTGTCTAGCATTCTGGTTCATCAAACCAAGGTTTTTGACATCCAGGGTCATTGATTGATGTGCTCATTGCCTGTCTACCTCTAAAATCCTTTGTCTGAATGTGTATGGCATGTTCTCTTAGTTGGCTGTTGAAGAAGGCCTTGTTTTCTGGGGTGGCGTGTATTATGGGCTTTACACATTTACTCATAACGCCCAGGCTCTTTCCCCTTGTTCTCAAATGGTACACTGAGTAATATTCATTTTACTTAATGCCTGGTTTTGATGTGACTTTATTTGAAGCTCAAATACCAAACTCATCAAAAAGTGCTTTTCTTGGCAAACTAAAGAGCTGACACTTTTTTTCTCTCTCCTGGAAAGCATTAAAAAGCAGCTCTTTCATTCCATGTTCAGAGAAGATAAAACAAAAACCAATAACTGAGAAATTAGCATCTGCAAAAACTTTGGGAAATGTAATCTCTACATTACAAAGCCTCCAACAAGCATCAGCTGATAGTATTTTTTTTACTTATTAGAGTCTGCTTTTAGAATTGGATAGGTTTTTTTCCCCATTTTATTTCTCATTTTTTTGATGAGAACTTCCCTCCAAACGCATTAGCTTTTTCATGGTTTCTGTGCTCTTGCCACTTACAGTGATGATGCATTAATTTTGTCACAAGGTGCTTTGCACTAGGTTGCATTCCTCTGAGATGTTATTTTAGAAATTGTTGGTGTGCATCTGTGAAAGCATAGAGTGTTATGCACTGAGCAGCACCATTAAGTGTGTTATCATCCATCTGTCCTCCACCTGCAGGCGTAATCCTGCTCATGGCATCCAAGGCTTTTCTAAGGTTGCAGTGTCCCAGTTTTCTTTGCGCTTCTGTTTATTTGGAGATTTTAAGACTTATTAATGTCCATTCTGGCATTTTTATCAGATTTGCAGACTTGTCTTTAGGAAAATCA